AAAGCCAAATTATGTTGTAGTTCAATATTTTTGTGCCTTTGTTTTTGATTTCTATATATTTATTGAACTCAATTTTGAAATACAATTTATATTTTGTTTAATTTGATCAATTAATACGATTGTTATTTTTTTTATTAAAATAATGCAATTAAATGATGTGCCTTATGTCCTTTTTGTAAAATTATAATTTAATTAACTTCAACCAATGAGTGACTATTTTCTTTGAAAAAATCCGAAATCAAAGTTATAATCTAAGATTACATAGTACAAAATCTATAATTATAGTGGACAAAGTCGAATTTAATTAAAATTATAAAGAACAATGACACTTGAGTTACAAAATGTAGAGAACTTAATAATCGTTAATATATTTACATCAATTCTAAATTTAATTGTGAATATCTAAACTTTTAAAAAATTGTATGAGATACAATTATATTCCTAAGAACTTTTCATGTTTTGCATTTTGTAGAAAACAAAAACAAGAAACAAAAACGCACTGTTCACATAAAGTTCAAAAGAAGAAGAAATATCGTGTATCACAGAAAACAAAAGAATTCTTTGTAATTACACAGTGAAAGAGGTAGATAGTTTAAAGTTTTTTTTTTAAAAGTTATATTTGAATTAAATCAGAAGATTTGTGAGAAGAATTATCTATAAAAAAAAAACCCTTATATTTCATTCATATTTTATTTTTTATTACAATTTTTCTCTAGAATTAAGAAATAATAATAAATTAATATAAGAAAATGGACTCCAATTAATTCCTAATTAATCGCATTGTTTCAATTTCTAAACTCCAAATTTTTTTTAAAAATGCATAATTTATACATAACATTTTTGTAAAAAAATTAATGGTCCCATAACCTTGGAGACTATGAGAGGATGGTCAATCGCGGTCGTCGAATGGTCGTAGTTGATTTGGGGCCATTCTAGTCAGCCAATAAGTTTTTGATGCAGAGTTTCTGACCGTGTTGATTGAGAGAGAACAACATGTTCTTCTTCATATGCCGGGTGCCATTGGGAATGCTCTTTTAGCAAATATTGTGAGTAGAATGGTTTACTATGTTATCACTTGTTATTATCTATAAATATATATATCTATATATATATAATAATAGAGAGAGAGAGAGAGAGATGAAGGAGAAGAGAGAGAGAGAGAGAGAGGGAGAAGAGAGAGAGCAAAGCATTCTGCATTGATCAGTGGTGATGGATGAAAACAACGTTGTTATCAAGCGATCTATGTCCTGTTGGCCTGAGTTGTCAAGAAGAGCTGGATTGGAGAAATTATAAGATCAGTTTTATGTGGGCAAATTTCAGCTACGTTATGTGCAATTTATCTGGCCTGTAAATGGATTAGACCAGATTTTGTCAAATCCAAATCAATTTGATTAAGATAAACCCGATCGATTTGAATCCATTTAGCCCATATTTGATTATAGATGACCAAAATTGTTGATCGACAATAGGAGTTTGGGATCTGGGTCGGATCTCCAACCCACTGAATTGTCATCCTTGAGAACTTTGAAGAACCCCAACGTTGTTCTCCCAACAATAATGTTCAACGGTGTGAGGGTCAGATGTGGCTGCCCACACCTAGACATTTTTCAGGGTAAGTGGCAAGGAGGGTATTTGTTTAAATCCTGATCATGGTTGAGTCCTTTTCTTCAAAGTTCTTTGTGAAAGAAATCATTTGAAGCCCTAACCATTAGCCAAACATCTCCATATTGTCATCCTAGCTTGTCTAGGTGCTTCCATGTACCCTCACCATTGTGCCTCACTGAAATTTCAACGAGCACAATTAATGAGGAAAAGGAAATGTACAGAAAACAATTTAAAAATAAAGTCTAGTGTGTATATTTAAATTTAATCTATTGTCAGTCACATTCCGAATATGAATTATGCGTCAAAATATTCATTGTGTTGATGATTTCTTGGATTTAAAAAAAAAAATAGTATTGTTTTTGTCACTAAATCAATCACCAATTGTCATGTTGTCCAGGCTGTTTCTCTTACCTAGTCTTACTCCTTTCACCAAACACAACCTCCCTAAAGCACCACCTAATCATATCCTAAAATCACTATAACCTCTTGAAAACTTCCTCTAGTCCAAAAATTGGATTGGTACTTTAGTTTTGGAGGTTGAGTAGGCTCATATGAAACAAATGATTACAAGCTACATCATTTTCAAGAGGAACATTAATTGTAATTAAGGCAGAAAAATTATCAAAAAAAATGTCTATGGTTTGAACTTGTTGTAGATTTAAAACTTTGTATGGTATGATTATACCTAAAATGGATTTTATCACATATTTCAGATTTTGATATTTTTTAAAATATTTTGGGTACATAACATTATTGTATAAAAATTCAAGTTTACAAATAATATAACCAATCAATAGAAGGAAAAATATTAAGTTCAGAGTATAATTCAAATCGGTGAACTTCAAAACATTAAAATTAGAGTCTTAATTTTTTATTCACAATCAGTAATTATTTTTTGAGGACACCGTTGAATCGTAATTTTTCTTTTCAAATTAAAATGATGTAGTATTTATTATTATTCACCTAAATGGTTGATGTTGATCCCCAAACCACCTTCTTAGCAAAACCCAAAACCTGTTGAGGAGATTGAAGACAATTGCAATACTTCAGCCCAGGCAAGTTCTTCCCATAATCTGGATTAGTTAGCCACAGTAACCCAGTGGCATAGTCGCCGATCTCGCTCCCTTCAGCTTCTCCCTCCATGGGTAGGTCGAACATCTCGTTCAACCGAGCCTTCATGTCTCACTATCTCCGATGGCACGCCATGGTCGACCAGCTTGAAGAACCCCCATTTGTTGCTAGCCGCTACCATTGTCACGACATACTTTCTCGCAGTTTTGATCTTTCTTTGCATTTAGAAGTCCAGTTGGCATAATCAGAATTTAATTCAATGAGTCATTTAGGGTCTATTTAATAACGTTACATTTTTGAGTTTATATTTAAAAAATTTATAAATTAATTTTGTTTATTTTTTGAAAAACATAAACTATAAATACGTTTGGTAATTGACAAAATATTTAAAAAATTTTTAAAAATAAAAAAAAAAAAAGTGAGAAAAATGACAAGTAGTGGCAAGTGCCGGCGAAAGACGGTAGTGGGAAAGTGGTAACGGTGGGTTGGTGGGTAGCGGTGTGGTGGTGAGTGGATGGGTGGGTGACATGCTGGCGGTTGGTGGGGGTGGTGGCAGTTGGGCTGGCGGATGGCGAATGGCAAGTGGCGCTGGGTGGTGACGGGTAGGTGTGTGATGGTGGATGGTGGGTGGGTAACGGTGGCAGGTGGTAGGTCGGTAGCAAGTGGGTGGTGGTGGTGGTGGTGGCGAGTTGACGATATGGGTGGTGGTGGCACGGTGGGCGGTGGCAAGTGGCGGGTTGTGATGGATGGCGGGTGAGATGGGTGACGATGCGGACGTATGCGCGGTGGCGACAGTGGGTGATAGTGGTGTGCGTAGTAGTGGGGTGGCGGATGACTGGTGGTAGCGAATGGTGGGTGGTGGGTGGTGGGGTGACGGTGGCGGGTGGTAGCGAGTGAGAGTGTGGTGGTGGTGGGTGGTGGTGGGTGGGTGGTGGATGGTGGTAGCAGATGGGTGGTTGAGTGGTGGTGGCAAGTAGGCAGCGGGTGGTGGATGGTAATGGTGGGTGGATGGGTATGGGTGGCAGAGTGGATGCAGGTGGTGCTGTAAGGCTGGTGGTGGTGCGAAGTGGGGGTAGTGTGCGCAGTGGTGGGTGGTGGTGGCGGAAGACGGTGGTGGAAAATGGTGGCGGGTGGTGGCTAGTGTTGGGTGGTTAAAAAAAAAACAAACTGAAAACCCAAAATGGAAACACATTTTTTGTGTTTTCATTTTTTGGCCAAATTTATAAACTGAGACCACTGATTTATAAATTAAAAATTTTACCAAACAAGTTTTTATTTGAGTTTTTAAAATTTTTGTAAATATAAACTGAAAATTGAAAACGTAAGTGTTACCAAACGACATCTTAATAAAGAAGTTTTAAAAATATATTTTAAAATTTATGAAAAGTGTTTTATATTATAATTTTTTGTTATAAGCATTAATGTCATATTGTTAAAAGTAATTTTGAGAGTAAATTTTTTTGAAAGCAAATTATGTTGGTAGTTTCAATATTTTTGCCTTTGTGTTTTTGATTTCTATAATTTTAATTGACTCAATTTTGATAATAAATTTATAATTTTGTTTTAATTTGATCTAATTAATTACGATTGTTAATTTTTTTTATTAAAATAATGCAAATATAAATGATGTGCATTATGCTTTTATATGTAAAATTATAAATTTATTAACTTCAACCAATTGAGTGACTATTTTCTTTGAAAAATCCGAATCAATGTTATTAATTAGATTACATTAGTACAAAATCTATAATTAAGGGACAAAGTCGAATTAATTAAAATTATAAGAACAATGACACTATGAGCAAAATGTAGAGACTAATAATGTAATAATTTACCCAATTCTAAATTTAATTGTGAATATCTAAACTTTTTAAAATTGTATGAGATTACATATATTCCTAAGAACGTTTTCATGTTTTTGCATTTTAGAAAACAAAAACAAAACAAAAAACCAGCTGTTCACATAAAAAGAAGAAGAAGAATATCTTGTAATCACATGAAAACAAAAGAATATCTTGTAATTACACAGTGAAAGAGGTAGTAGTTTAATTTTTTTTTTTTAAAGTTATATTTGAATTTAAAGAGAGATTTGTGAAGAGAATTGATCTATAAAAAAAAAACCCTTATATTTCATTCATATTTTTATTTTTTATTTACAATTTTTTCTCTAAATTTAAGAATAAAAAATAAATTATAAAAAATGACTCCAATTTTAATTCTTCTAATTATTCCATTGTATTCAATTTCTAAAACTCCAAATTTTTTTTTAAAAATGCATAGTTATACATAAACATTTTTGTAAAAAAATTAAGTGGGTCCCATACCTGGAGACTTATGAGAGGGATGTCATCGCGGTCGTCGAAGTGGTCGTAGTTGATTTGGGGCCATTCTGAGTTAGACCAAATGAAGTTTTTGATGCAGAGTTTCTGACCGTTGGATGAGAGAGAATCAACATGTTCTTCTTCAATTGCCGGTGCCATTGGAATGCTCTTTTAGCAAATATTGTGAGTGAGCAATGGTTACTGTTAATCACTTGTTATTATCTATAAATATATATATATATATACAGAGAGAGAGAAAGAGAGAGAGAGGCCAAGCATTTGCATTGTAAATGGTGATGGGGATTGAAAAACAACGTTGTTATCAAGGATCTATGTCCTGTTGGCCTGAGTTGTCAATGAAGAGCTGACTGGAGAAATTATAAGATCAGTTTATTTTCGGGCAAATTTCACACGTTATGTGCAATTTATTCTAGGCCTGTAAATGGATTGGACCAAATTTGTCAAAATCCAAATCCGATTTGATTAAGATAAATCCGAATCCGATTTGAATCCATTTAGTCCATATTTGATTATAGATGACCAAAATCCAAATTCGATAATTTTGGATCTTCGATCCGATCTATTTATTTATTTATTGAGTTATAATTTTGTATAGTTTAATTTTTTTTTTTCATTTTTTGTTTTCTTCATTCAAATTGAGAATAATTGGATCGGATTATCGGATCGGATCGAATTTTTACATATTTAATTAATTTAATAAACGGATTAAATGGATTTAGATTATTAGATTGCCGGATCAATTTTTTGCAAATGTATTTGGATTTTTCAGATTACATTCGGGTTGGATTCGGATTAAATTCGATCCATTCACAACTTGATTTATCCCTTAACATTTAGAAATAATCACATAATCCCACATGATTTGTGAACCAAAACACACACTATTTTTAGACTAAAAGTTGAGATTGAAAATATGAATGTTTTGGTTAACTTTTTGACTTTTTATGAAAAAATGTGTATTAAAAAATTGTATAAATTAATGTGTAGGGTAGTGTGTAGAGAAAAATTAAAATTAGAAGTTATGCAGCCGTAATTATTGACTTTTGGTGAATAGTGATAACTTTTTAACTTTTTAAATAACTTTTTGACTTTTTTAGACTTCCCAAACTTGACCTAAATTCTATTGACAAAACATAAAAACTTTATGCTCTCATCCTTTTCCTCTTTCTCTTATGAATTAAACCTATATATATATATTCTTTCTTCTTCCTTCCATAACTGTCAACTATAGCAAATTCCATTTTAAATTTTGCAAGCAAAATCTGTCATAACCGCCAATGAGAACACAATCCTTAACAGTTTTGACACTCCTCCTTTTCACCACCCCAACCCCTGCAACCCTTGTGTAGATTCTAGAGAGAGAATAGATAAATTTAGAAAGAGAGAAAAATAATTAGCAGAGGGCTTTGGAAAAAGAGTGAAGATGAGGGAGATTGGTGGCTCAAAAATGAAAGGTGCATCAAGCATAAGTATTTGTTGAGATCCATATGAGATTTGTGTGTTATTAAATATTCAATTCATGCATGACCATATAGCTTCCTCTGCTAGTGGGTTGCACAGTCGTGAACAACCCACTGGTTCGCTCGCAAATACGTAACTTCATATATTAATAGTATATTTATATATATTTGCATATATATATATATATATATGTGTGTGTGTGTGTGTGTGTAAATTCTATTTTTTTTAATAAGATTACCTTTGTGTACAGAAATTGTGGTGGTGTGCTTTTCATTAAGATTGAATTCATAAATTGTGGTGATATAAAAATTGTGGAAATTGAATACAAAAATCATGGTGATACATTATATTAAATACAAAAATGCTTTCCATTAAAAATTACATACAAAAAATGCAATAATTAAAATTAGTGGTGGTGTTAAATTAAATTAAAATATAATTAAAAATTAATAAAAAAATATAATTAAAAAAATTAAATTAAGATACTAGGAATTACAATAAATAATTAAAAATTTAGAATTGATTGTAATCTGGAATAGTTGAAGTGCGCCAACACCATTAACAAGAATTGTTTATTTCTAGTTAAAAAAAAAAAAGAAGAAATGTTTATTTCATTAAAAAGTAAACAAACATTTCCTATTAACAGTGTCAATGACATTTACAGTTCTTATATTTGAAGCGAGTTAAGCATTATCTTTAAAGCGAGTTAAGCGTTTAGTTTTATACATTAGAAAGACAATTTGCAAGAGTCATAATTAAAGGGGGGATTTATTGAAGTTTCCCCTCCCCTTTTATTTATTTATTTTATTTTAATTGAGAATTACATTGAGATCTTCATTCATGCTATTATTAAAATACAATTCATAGAAAAGAGTATCTAGCCACTTTAAAACTTGAAACAAGTATCTGAAGTAATTGAAAATCCTTGATTGGGAGGTGGAGCAGAATGTTCGAGGCCAGGGCTATCACTTGGCGGAGTGGGTCGAAACGCTTTTGTACTAATAAACCCGCCAGCTCCCTAATTTGGTGGTGGAGTAGAATGACCAATGCCAAGGCTATTACTTGGTGGAGTGGGTCGAAAAGTTTTCTCAACAGTAAGCCTGCTAGCTCCCTTATTGGTGGGTGGAGCAGAATGACCGACACCAGGGCTATTACCTGGTGGAGTGTGTCGAAAAGCTTTCTCACCATCAAGCCTATCAGCTCCCTTATTGGGGGGTGGAGCAGAATGACCAATGCTAAGGCTAATACCCGGTGGAATGGATCGAAAAATTTTGGCACCGGCAAACCTACCAGCTCCTTGATAGGGCGGTGGAGTAGAATTACCATCGCCAGGGCTATTCTCAGCCGGAGTAGGTCGAAAAGCTTTCGCACCAGCAAGCCCACTAGCTCCCTAGTTGGGAGGTGGAGGAGGATGATGGAGGTGGAAAATAGTTATTTGAAGAGTATGTTAAAAAACTTTCTCACCAGAAAGCCTACCAGCTCCCTTATCAGGGGGGTTGCCAACACACAGACTCTGGTATAGTGCTTTGGTTTGCATTTCTACATTCAACTGCATTCCCTCAGTTGACCTAGCTCCATAAGACAAGGTTATCTCACGAAGAAAAACATAAAGTGAGCAAGACCTTACTTTTGTCCATAACTAACAAGAAGCAAGCTTCAAATGGAGGATACGTTTGAAGATTGTATAGGCATCTTCTACAGAGTTAACAACATGTTCAAAATAAATGCAAAAGAGGTATTTATTTTTAAAAAAATGCTATATATAATCATATTTCTTAACCCCCCCCCCTCTTTTTTTTGTTGAGATTTACTGGCAAGTCATATCAATTTTTCTGATGTGACTTGCCAGTAAATCTCAACCACACAATGTAGCACTCTAGGAAATTTTAGGAAAATTTCACTCTAGAGGATCCTTGGTGATGAATGTGAGTCACATTCATTTGAATAAGTCTATATGGACAGAAATTATTCATAGAATGAGATACAAACATCTTACAAATAGTAGATCCCACATATAGAAATGGGGTCCATTTGTGGGTCTCACACATATGACACCCACCCTTTGTGAGAGGTTTGTGTCGTATTTTGTGAATGATTTTTTTTGTTCCTAACATTACTATATTTATTTTATGTCTAAAAGTAAGAAAATGAAGTAAGAAATTGAATTATATAATATTGTTCTTCATTTTAGGGGCTGAATTATTTTGAAATTACATTTTTCAAAACAAATAGTTCTTATTAGAGTAGAATGAGAAAAATAATTAATTTGATTTTTTTATATTTGTGAGAGAAAAGTGCATGTTGGCAACATCTTAGGACGCCATTATTATTTTCCTAAGAAAGTAGAAAAATGATCCGGACCCCCATTGAGGGTGACCCCAGCGGACTGTGATTGGCCAAAATTTTTTTTTTTTCCTTCTCCAATCACCAACCCTGCACGTGTGTGTGGGGGAGGAGAGAGTGGGAGTCTCAATCAGGTCTCAAGAAAGTAATAGTTATGAAATATTAACAATGACAAAGATTATGGTACACATATTTTAAATGGTATATATCATATATATCTTATAACTCTAAAAGAATATGATATAACTTTATACTTTTTGAGTTATAAATTAAAAGAAAAGTCATAATCAAATATATCAAAATAATGTTATAACTAAATAAGAAAATTAGTTATAAAAAAAAAAAAAAAGACGTAACGAAGCATGCATATAATTTGGGGGGTGTATAATAGAATTTTCCATTAACATAAATTCTAATTGAAAAGGTAATTGGGTTCCTTCCTATTCACAGTTTCAATTAGAGGGTACTATCTAGAAAGGATGAGCATCGGCCCGTTGCCTCGCCCAGTCTAGTTTTATTTTTTTTAAGATTTGGGAATATTGTTTTAACTTATAGAGTTAGATTGGGTTACTATCTTCAGCTCGATATATTAATGGGGGGTTGGGCTTGAGATTTATACTGTAACCTAGTTTGACCTGCTATTCAATTAATTAGTTAATTATAATATATTAAAAAATATATTTTTTTGTTACGATGTAAACTTTGTCTTTGTTAATTTTATTAAAACTTACATATATGGTAGGTATGATTGAATTTATTTAAGAAATTCCTCAATTTATTTACAAATTCTTTCAATTTATAATGATGTCAATATGTTTATTTAATATGTGATTGAATTTAGTTATGAAATGTTTAAAATTTTCTTTAATATATAGTCTGATAGGTGGATTTGGAATTTATAATTATTTTTTGGGCCAGACTTGGACAGATCTAGAGGCTTGATGTTAGGGCTAGGTACGGTTTGGGTAGACACAAAATCCGTTATTATGTAGTTTCGGTCCAACCCAAACACGGCCAATTGTATGCCCACCCCTATAAAATGGGCTAGTGAGATTTACTATAGATCCGGCGATGATCAAAATTGTTTATTTTATAGAATTTTTCGTGTACATCATATTTATAAGAAAAACTAAGTCGATCAGATAATCATAGTCTATTCAATTTATTGCATTTGTATCTAAACAAATGAACAACAAATGTATTTTTAAAATAGATCATCCATTTTTTTGATAACAAACGCAATAAATTGAATAGATTACGATTATCGAATTGATTTAAAAAAAATTACAAATTATATACACAATAGATCTTACAAAATGAACGATTTAGATTATCGAAATGAGCCACATAATGAACTTTACAGACCCAAACAACACCGTCCAA